TTTCTAGTGGTCTTTGTAAGAGTGTAGAAGCATTCCTTCTTTGATAATGTTAAATTTGTAAGTTTCAGGTGACATGTGAAACCTTTTTTAAGATTTTTCTCAAAGTTTTGAAAAGCTATTAGCCAGGATCATGGTGTAATAAGACATAACGTTTTTCCTTTAAAAAATTTAAGTGCGTGTGTAGAGTTAAGAAGCTGTTGTACATTTATGATTTAATAAAATAATTCTAAAGGAAATTGTGTAATTATAGACTTTTTATTTTAAATAAGTTAAGGAGGGGGTAGTATAATTAAGGTCCGTTGCAAAGTTGTTGTATATTTGTATAAGATAAATGCTGGTCAGATATAAGTGTGTTGTCTGCAATTCATCAGGATTAAATTATGTAGTTAACTTAAGGGATATCTCTGCAAGGAGAAACACCTTTTTAGATCTTTTAGATGCTGCTTCTTCAATGCAAGGAAAGGAAATAACCCCAGCGAGGTACTCTTCAGGGACACAGGTCTAGTACAAGAGAACTCTTGACACGGCTACTAAGTTCAGCCAGTCTTAAAAAACTGCGCTGTTTCTACCAAGCTTTAACTACAGTAGTTTATAAGGATGCCAACGAAAGCTGAGGGTGTAGAGCAAAATAGTTCTAAGCTTCAGTTAAACTTCTTTAGGTAAGATCTTATTTACTTTTCCTTTCTTAATTTTCCTCCCTAAAAGATAAACTAATACTCTTCAATGGTCTTTCAGTATAGTGGTTCTTTATGTAGTTTAACATAGCTATAAATTGAGTTTAACAATTTATAAACTCAAGAGAATTTTTTAAACCCTGTTTTCCAATCTGTCATTTACTTAAATTATTTTGGTTGTTTTTCCCTTTTTTTCCTTCTTTCCCATCCCCTCCCCCCTCCATGAAGATTCAGGTGCTTAACATATCATTTTTTTCCCTGCTGGAATTTTAGCATTGATATGAGCCATGGACAAGTATATTCTGCTGCCACAAAGACTGTAAAGTGCTTCATTTCAACAGCTGAGGCAAGCCAAGTGATCATTAATAAAGCTTTTCTTGGTTCCTTCAGTGGTGTTGGTAGTAAAATGGTAGGTAAAAGTTAGGCTGCAAATTCAATAAATCATGAGATTTCCCATCGTTACATCCTTGTGTATTCACATATCTCGGATCAAGCATTTCGAGTCAATCAGGGGTTTTTATTAAAATAAAGACATTTGTTCTATTACTTTATGGTTCTAGCTTTACATGCTTATCACCAGGCTGAAAGAAAAGGTAGGGGCAAAATGGTTGAATCTACTTTCAGATAATAGTTTATGCTTATGAGTAAAGTTCTGCATTATAAATCTTGTATGTATCCCATACTAAATAGTTGGGTTTAAATGTAGTAATTCTTGCCCAGTGTCCTACCCTGAAGAAAGATAATAGGTTGGCTGCCGAAGTTCATTTCTTAAACTAAATATCAATGGAGTTTCATTGCCTGGCTTTATTGCCTTTTCAGGAATGTGATATTCAGGGCTTACTCCACTGTATGCACCAGTGAGTCTTCTTTGATCCTAAGACCACCACTGAAGTTATTTAGGTTCTTTGGACAAACATGATAAACTTCTTCAGATACTTTTTTTTTCCTTTGGCAGGAAGGTGTCTTGCTGCAGGTAACTAATGAAGAAGTGGTCAACCACAGAGTCTTCAAGAAATAAGAAATTCTGTACCATCTGAAAGTAGTTCTTGTTGGTGCCTTCATTTAAAAAGCACTCTTTAAGATAAAAGGGAAATGTTTTCTGATAAAACAAATCTTCATTTAGTTCAGGTTCTTGATAGAAAACAATTACAAAATGAGTGTTGTTTGTAAAACAGTAACATCAAATCAGCTAGAGAGATAAATGTATCATGTTTTAAGTTAGGTTTTGTGAGTAGATACATTAAAATTCTATTTTAAAGTTTATAAAATAAATACTTTTGTATCTAAATACTTGGTGTAATGTTTACACATAATGTGTCAATCTTGTTCTACGAACATACAGTTGTCTAAAACATTGCTATCCCCTATATTTTTAAAGCAGTTTCACAAAGCTATGCATATTTACATTTTCTTTCAATATTAATAGACAAATGAGAGGAAGAGCATTGTGGACATTATTGGCTGTCCCTAATAAAATGCTATTCTTTATGCACTGTATATTCAGCGTTTGAATACTGCTGCAGTTTACTGTCTTTACCCTGTATATTTAACATTGCTGGTGGTGTTTTGAAATCATGAATTTTAAATTAACCAGCTAGAGTGGTCCAAAGTAACTGGCTATATGCAAAGCACTAAAAGTCTCTCATACTAGTTTGTCAGATGTCAGTTCTTTTGCATTTTACACTTAGATGAATATCAGTGATCATCTTTTTAAAAGGTTAAACTTGGATAAAATTTAATAGTCTTTCCTGTTTGGACATTTACCTGAAATCAGAGAAACCAGAAAAATAAAGGCAAAGTTAACTGACTTTTCAATTACAGTTTATTTTGATAATAGGTATCTCACAGGTAAGTCAGACTAATGGCTATGAGCTATTTTCTGTTTGAAATAGTAGCTACATCCATCACTGTTGCATGAACACTTCAAAGTTAATTTTGAAGGTTTAAAAATGTCTAGCACAAAGAAGTTGAACTTTGAAGAAGTTGATGATGTACCACTTCAAGTGTCTAACTCAACTAGCAAGGTCAAGGGAATGTTACAAATAATAGGGAAAGATTGAGTAATACACAATAGGCTGAAATGAACTGGTTTATGAAGATAAGGGTTCACTAATACGCAGCTAATGTTGGATATTAAACAGATTTCCTGTGTGTATTGATCTTTTTCCTTAGAAATTGAATTTAAGGTATTGATTTTTTTTTTTTTATAACCTGGGACACTAAAGAAAACCTTGTGTATTGCTATTATTACCTCAATACTTAAAGCACTTGAGAGCAACATATTCTTCAGCATCTGGAACGTGGTGATTCTGGCTAAAAACTCTGAGGTGGCAGTCACAAAAAATCTTAGTTGGGGTTGGAAATTAACATTCAAGATGACATACCAACAGGGATGGCTGTTATCTTCCCTCAGTGAATGATTCAAGAAAGTAACAGAAAATTACCAAACATGACTACACTTTGGAAGTCACACTGTCTTATATTCTAATGATCACACTATGTGGGAGGGTTCTACTCATTGACATAGATGGTTTTTGAAGCCGGTAACCACACTCAGGAGTGCTTGTTCCTAGGTTTTTATGTGTTTCGATGAAACTGGGTTTTTCACCTATAAGGTTTTTATAGCCAAATTTGGTGTAAGAACCTAGTTTGGACCTACTGAATATTTTAGGTATTGGGAGCTAATTTATGGAGGCTTTAAAAGACGTCTGAGTTGATTACAAATAGTTGGAATAGTTGGTAGTTGAAAAGTATGGGTTGGTTTTCTTCTGTAGAAGGTAGAGACCGTCATTTATCTCAGGACTCCTAAAGTATATTCTCCACTTAATTTTATTCAACCTCACAATCTTTAAGGTTTGGAAGTGATGTCTCCATGTGCTTGATATATGCCCCGTGCAATTTTAATACGATTTAGTGCTATGACTAACAATGGTTAGCTGTAGTTTTTTGTGGGCATGGGGTTAACAATTCATACCAGGTAATTGGATTACCAGAGAGCAAACTTCAAAGACGGGTAGGGATGGGGAAAAACTGATCCAGCTACTTAAAATAGGATGTATTTAACAAGGGTATTATGTTCTCGCATAGACTCATATGGTAACATTTTGTGTTTTGAAAGCCAATGCTGAAATTGAAGGCACCTTTCAGAGGGACCTCAAGTATCCATATGGCCTTGTTTAGTACATAGTGCTTGGAGCATACATGATTGACTAATCTCATCACACCTGTGAAGATGTCAACTTGGCCATCTGTTCACTGCTACCAGAAGGAAATTTGAGGGTTTTAATAAATGCAATGTCCACATGGTGGGCTTTGCCATATTTCACTTTAACTCCATTGTTCAATTGTAATTTGATGACATCAGTGGAATCACTTAATAATTTTTATTTTTTATAGGTAAGGAAAGGACGTTTATATTGGGATCAGCCCAAACTGAAGTGGGAGGTTTGGGCCACACACTGAATTCAGGAGGGGAAAAGGTGCATACTAGAAAAGGCTTCAAAGGTTAAGTGCAGACTGGACTAACATATACAAGGATAGACATAGATTTTACCTGTCTTTGCGGTTCTTGAGATTTTGCATCTAAGTTCCACATCACATAATTTGAAAATGGTTGGGGCACAACACTGTTGTCTGTTAATCACTGTTGAACTAAGGTTCTGGCTAGCAATAAATCAACCTTTAGGTTTCAGATTAATCTGTCAGTGTACACTAAAGTCCTAACATGGTTTCTCCACTGTTGGAACTGCAGTATTGATAATCAGCTTCAGTTTACATCCCCTGAATCCAGTATGTTTGGAGGTGACCTATTTTTGGTTAGCAAACTAGTCTGTGGCAAGTTAGATCTTGTGGAACTGGCTATTGAAAGCGTGATTTTTTGACCTTTGGTCACAGCGCACCAGTTGCAGTCCCTTGGTATTTGTGGGCAGACTGGTTCTAGGACCTCACACAGGTAAGGAAATCCACAGATGCTCAAGTTCCTTACATCAAATGGTGTATTTGCACATAACCTATGCAATCTTCCTATACACTTTAAATCATCTCTAGGTTATGATACCTGATACACAAAGAGTAAGCTAGGTAAAAGCTGTGTTCAGGGAATAATGATAGGCAAAAGGAAGTGTTCATCACCAGCACAACCATCTTGCTTTTTTCCAAAAATATTTGATCTGCAGTTAGTTGAATCCAGGGATACAGAGGGACGACAGTAAATACCTTACAGACTTAAAATTTTAGTTTAAATTTCAGTCATCATGAACATATTGCCAGTTTTCTCCACTGTATTTTTTTTCCTTGGTATTTTCAGGGGTTTGAAAAGATAGAGTCCGACAAGCAGGTACTCATGAATACACTTACCAGTTTTGAAACTTAAAATTGGTACTGTGAGATTTTACATTGTAGACTTAAAACAATTTTTGCTTTAATGTGCCCTAAAGTAATATAAATAACCAGAAGTTTTCAAGACATTTGGAAGAAAGCCTGCCAACAGCGTAAGTGATCACTGAACGAAGCAGTGGTCATGGAAGGGTAATGTTTCCATCTGGAAGTATTTGCTGGCAAAATCTAGGTCTTGGAATAAATATGTATGCCCAACTTGAAAAAGAACTATTATTACAGAAGTCTAGACTGTGTAAGTATTGTGTACATATCTGTAACCCAAAGTAATACTTTTTATGACTTCTGATATTCTGCATTGTAAGTCAGTGATTCCTACAGTAGAAATAACATCTGTGAACTTTAATTGTGAAAATTTGGAAATTAAGCATTAGACTAAACAGTGCTTGTTAAAATCTTGATGTTCCCCAAACTTGACAATCTGGGTGAGGTCATTGCTGTCTTCAGAAAATTCACAATCTACTGTTCAAATAAACATCTGAAATGGTTTTCATTTCACATACCATCATTTCTAGGATTAACCACTAGTTGGTTTACTTTCGAATCTATTTTTTGCCCTTCCTAGTCAACATTTTAAACATTTAAATACCTTTCAGATGCTTCCACTATCTCTAGTTCTTTGGTTGTAAAATCTGTATGTTCATCTATTTAATTCCTCTTACTGTTGGTTTGTTTTTTTTGTAAAGCTTGTAAATGTTTTGGTGAATTTGGTGAGCTCTCAGTATTCTAGGATGTGAGGCCATCCCTATGGGCTGGCCAAGGACCCTATGGGTTTAATAATATACACAAAAAGGAATTCTGTTTCTCTACGCAGGCAGCTCCATTCTATCTCTGGTTACAGGGGACAGAGGCTTGTGCTCTAAACTGCTGGTGACTATAGGTCTTTGCCCTCAGGCCTAATGCACTCTAATACTTTAAAGTTTTCTTTGTTTTTGGCACCTTGGCTCAGAGCTTGGCCATTTTTTAGTTTTGATTTCATGTAGTTTGTGTGTTAAGTCTGAGGGAGGATTTGTCATATCAGTCTGGCTTGAATCTGATTGATTTGTGTAAATTAAAACAAATTTTCACTATGCTGCCCTATTTGCAAGATGTTCACTCATTCCTGAATGTACATATTTTGGAGGGAAAATTAAGGTAAATTTACTTGGAATTTCTGTATAAAAAGGAAAAAATTTTAATACATTCAAATATAAAATTTATTTCCAAAGAAAGAAAAATTTATAAGTTAAATACTCACAAAAATTAAAATAGCTTTTGAAAAGCCCATTACAGTGGTAACAGGTGGAAATAAGGCTACTTTACATTTTAAGTCATAAAAAACAAATACATCTTAAAACAATTAGATCCTCTGTGCTCTTTGGAGTGACCATCTTATTTTTAAAAAAAGTTGCCAAAGTGACTGGTAAGTCATAACCAGGTTTTCATATTACCCTAGTCTTTAAACATAACTATTTATGAATCTTTTATACAATGCAGTACGAGGATTTCGTGAAAAGTTGTGGCTTCCTGTAAATTCCCAATAAGTTACAATCTTGAAGTTCAAAATATTTGTCTACATGAACTTCAAAATGTAGCCTTAACTGAGTGCTGCAGGTAGCAGTACTTAAAAGATGTAACACTTGAAGCAATTTCAGTGGTTTGTGATCCAGATAATCAGTTTCTGAACATTACTACTTTATCCACGTGAGTCCATCTTCAGTTTCTTCTTTCACTTTTTCTCTTTCCCTTTTGGGTTTCCTTTTTGTGGACTGAGGTCACCAGTTCTTTGGGTACGATCAAAACGCTTCCATCATGACTGCACTGAAGAGCATACTGATTTGGATTGACTGGCCTACCTTGGTCATCTCTTAACCTACTAAAAACATCATGATAAAGGTCATGCAGTTTCTGTTT